AGGACGACGGTAATGGTTCACTGGTTATAGTGAACATATAATGATGAATATTTGAAGGATGATGAAAGATCACAAGTTAACTCTCTCTTCTCTCTCTCTCTCTCTCTCTCTCTCCCACACACACACACACATACACACACTCAGACTCTCTCTCTCTCTCTCTCTCTCTCTCTCTCACACACACACACACACTTACACACACTCAGATCTATCCCATGAGTATGTATGCATGTTTAGGCGATAAAGTCCAATACATCAGAGATATATACATGGAGAGACTGCAATCTTCCACCGAGGTTATTATTATTATTATTGTTATTGTTATTATTGTTATTTCTCAATTTTTCCAGTTTTTTTAGAGCCGGTTATTGAAAAATCCGGGGTTTGACAAGGTTCTCCATTTTTTTTTGGTTATTTTTATCGTTATTCTTCCCAGGATGTCAATCTAAAAATAGCCATTATCGAATGGCTGACGGCTTGCCTCCAGACGCAATTGGCCCTAACCGAGCTATTTATATCCAAGAGAGATAAAAATAAACTTTTCGGGATTTCCATCAACCAGCCAATAGTAAGTGAGACTGCTATTGCTATAATAATAATAATAAATAATAATAATAATAATGAGAACTCTTTTTATTATCATCAAAACTCAAAAAATAAAATCAATTATCATAAATAAACAAAATGTTTATAGTAATTGTTGTATAATAATAATAATAATAATAATAATAATTATGATTAAAAGTATAATAATATTTTTAATTATGGAATTATCAACTAATACTGATAGTGGCGTTTTTTAATAAGCTTTAGTAAATTATTATATTTGTTGTTGTGGTGGTAGTTGTTGTTGCTGCTAGCATCGTAATGCAGTGTGTGTGTGTGCTGCGTAGTTTTGTTGGTGTGTTGCGTGTGTTTGTCGCTGAAACTTCTGAAGCGGGTGCACAAGAGAGGTTTAACCTTTAACCTTTATTATTATTACTATTTTTATTAATTATTATTATTATTGTTGTTGTTGTTGTTGTTTAGTTGAGTGACGGTGATGATGACGTTGAAGATCGGGACTCCATCTTGCACGTTCTCGTTGATCTCATTGGAGTTGAAAGACAGGTGAGCGTGTTTGTGGTGTTGTTGTTTTGTTGTTGTCGTTCTTTGTTTATTTGTTTGTCTGTCTGTCTGTTTGTTTGTTTGTTTGTGGTTGTGTTGTTGTTGTTTGTTTGTTTGTCTATCGGTCTGTTTGTGGCGTTTTTGTTGTTGCTGTTGTCTGTTTGTTTGTCTGCTGTGGTGTTGTTGTTTAGTTGTTATTGTTTGTTTGTCTGTCTGTCTGCTTGCTTGTTTGTGGTGTTTGTTGCTTTGTTGTTGCTGTGACGATGATGAGGATGATGAAGATGGACGATGATGAAGATTATGACAACGATGAAGATGATGATGACAACGATGTTGATGACAGTTCCTGTACAGATGTCCCAGCAGTCTGCTGGCATGCATCATGGAGTACTTCCACTGCATGTGGAAGAAGTGCCACCTCAAGCCCATCACTAAACTGAGGAAAATGTTTGTTTTGTTGTTTCTATTCGTTCGTTCGTTCTTCCATTTGTTCGTTATTATTATTATTATTTTTATCATCATCATCATCGTAGGAAAATGTTTTGGGATTGCCTGTACAATGTCGTCACCACTGTGGCCTCCCTAAAACACAAAGATACTAAATATAACAAGGTAACTAGAGTGGTAACTGATGATGAGAATGATGATGATGAGAATGATGATTATTATTATTATTATTGTTATTATTTTCAACCATAGTTGGATTGCAATGTTGTCAGTTTATCCCATTCATTGAGGATCTTAGCCTTCGAACTCATCCACTCACTAAGGTTGTGATGATGATGATTATGGTGGGAATGATGATGATGGTGGTGGTGATTATGATGATGATGATGATGGTGATGATACTTGACATCATTATCAGGATAAAAGAGCTGTCGTACCCCGCTGAATTGAAAGATTTCTGTGTAAAGGGCGTCATCAAATTGCTGTCCTATGTAAGTTTGATTCTTATTGGTTGATAGATTTTTGAAGTTTTGTAACGGTTTTTCTTATTGGTTGATAGATTTTTGAAATTTTGTAACGGTTTTTCTTATTGGTTGATAGATTTTTAAAATTTCCTAACGGTTTTTCTTATTGGTTGATAGGTGTTTGAAATTTTGTATTGGTTTTTTTTATTCGTTGATAAATTTTTGATATTTTTCACTGACAATTTTAACTGGTCCGTAGTTCCAGCACAGGATTGTCCACAACTGCACTAACGAACTGGCTAACGAAAATGACGTCACCATCAGCAGCAACAACAACAACAGCAACAACAACGATGCTAATGATAATGATGATAGAAATGAAAATTTCAACGTGACGTCATCCTCTGCTGAAATGTTTCTGTTTGGATGGAGGGATTTTATGTCAATGCTAGCGGCCAATAAGGTTTATTTTCAATTATCATTCTCCACATCAATTAATTAATTAATTAATTGATTAATGGCTTATTGGTTATAATTGATAATCGTTTTATCCTAATTAATTGATAAATTGATTTTAATTGATTAATTGATTTCAATTAGAACTCTGATGGGGTGACGTTGAACGGCGAGTTAAAATCATATGTCATTATATCTGTTTACGTGGCTCTGCTTCATGTGGTGAGTGTGTTTGTGTGCGCGCGCGTGTGTGTGTGTGTTTGTCTGTGTGTATGTGTTTTTGTTTGTGTGTTTGTGTTTATGTGTATTGACCAATCAACCAACCAATCAATCAACTAACCAATCATTCAATCAAAATCAACCATCAATCAATTAACCAATCAATCTAACAACCAATCAACCAATCAATCAACCAATCATTCAATCAACCAACCAATCAATCAACCAATCATTCAATCAACCAACCAATCAACCAACCAATCAACCAATCATTCAATCGCATCAATAAATCAACCAATCAATCAACCAACCAATCAATCAATTAATCATGTGATCGTACCCATTCAGCCGAATGTTAGGAACGCATGGAACATGACCTCAATCCTATCATCATCTCTACTCATTCTTATGCGGAACTGGAGCAAGTTTGTGACGATGGATGACGACGATGATAATGATGATGATAAAAATATCAATAATAATAATAATTATAATAATAATGATAATAATAATGTTGATGGTGATGATGATGATGTACCGTTTGTGATGATGGTGATGATATTACTATTTTATAAACATTATCCTATTTTTATTTTAAGTTTGTTTTAACTGGTCAGACCCGATAAATTTCATCCTGGTCAACCTTGTAGCATTTGCTGTAGTTTTTTTTTCTGTTACAAATGGACCTCGTTTCGTTTCGTTTCGACGTTGACCGTCTCGTTTCGTTTCGATATTGACCGTCCTGTAAACCAACTGACAGAGATCTGACCAATCATACGCGCCACCTCGAGCTATGCTGTAAAACCTTGCAAAGGTTGCGAGACAACAACAGCAACAACAACAGCAGCAACAACAACAACAACATTATTAACAATAATAATAAGAAGAATCGAACGAAGTCGCTGATGTCTGCCACATGTGCCACTCTTCTCTATTTCAGCGATTGCAAACTGGAGATCATGAAAGGTGGTGATGATGATGGTGATGGTGATGATGATAGTGATGATGATGATGATAGTGATGGTGATGATGGTGGGGGCTGGTGATAATGGTTTACGTGCAGTCTGTCCAAAATTCAATGTTTCAACCCGAGTTGAGTCAGTTTTTTTTTATCCTTTAAATTTCCCCAAAATAGATGCAAAAAACAAAGAAAAGATAATGGACATCTTGACTGTCGTCTGCCAGATATTGAATGATTCTTTGTTATGGAGGTTGGTCATTCTGGTTTTATTTCAACATCAGAACCGCATTCAACGCAGGGCCTGCCAGAGGAGGAGGGGTGGGTGGCACCACAAAGAGGGCCCCTACAAAAGGGTGATGGGTACATCCACGAGAAGATTATGTGTCATTTCGTCATTTTTTTATTAATACCAAAAATTCTGAATAGGCTAAAAAAAAATGTCGTTAACTTTTTTGGAGGTCGTATATTCCAATATTTATTGTACCTGTCAGTCCAGCCCAAGTTATTATTATTATTATTATTGTTTTTAGCGTTGGTATGCCTGCTGTCATAAATAAAGAAGAGAGGAACAAGTTTAAAGTAAGTTTGCGATGATGATGATGATGATGGTGATGATGATGATGGTGATGGTGATTATGGTGATGGTGATTATGGTGATGATGGTGATGGTGATGATTTCAGGATGAGGATGTGATGATGACGGTTATGAAGAGGGTCATGATGATGATGTTTATGGTGATGATGGTGTTGATGATGATTGTGGTGATGGTGGTGATGGTGATGATTTCAGGATGTGATGATGATGACGGTTATGAAGAGAGTGATGATGATGGTGATGGGTGATGATGAAATTAAATCCGTGCCTGTCTGTCCACACTCGTTCATGCCCAACCGATTGCTACAATAGCTTATGATTATTAACCTATGATAATTAGCACCCAATTAACATAATTTATGCTAATTAATATTCACCATTCAAGGCTCTGCCAATATCCTTGCTCAATATGGTGACGGAAATAGTTTCTTGCTTCTGTGAGAGAAGCAAGAAGACTAAAAATGATGACGATGATGTCGTTAGTGATGATGATGATAAAGGATTATCATCATCATCTTCATCATCGTCGTCGTCAAAGATGTTGTTGAGTGTGCTGAACAGTCAAAGTATTGTTCAGAATCTTATCTCTCTCTGCACTCACTATCTCAAGGTGGTGGTGGTGATGATGTTGATGATGATGATGTTAATGTTGTTTGCTATCATTCTAGTCATCGTGTTATTGTTATTGTTATCAGTATCATCATCATCAGTTTCATCATCAACACTTTTTGTTGTTGTTATTGTTGTAGTTATTATTATTTTTGTTGTTGTTGTTGAAATACAGAACAATGGAGAGCTGGATGTCGTGCAAGCAGTGATCGGTCTTTTCCTCAAACTGTCTGTCAACCATGAGGTAGAGAGATGATGACCATGACGACGACGACGATGATGATGATGATGGTGATGGCGACGATGATGATTAATAATATGCCTCAGTTGAATATAATATGATAATTTAAAATAGGGGGCGGAGTTACTGGCTGTCAATCAAGTAAATGAACACCTTGGCATCTACGTTTCATACCTCTACAGTGTTAGTATGAAGATTTGGATGATGACGATGACGACGACGATGGTAGTTATGATGATATCATTGATGACGTTGATTGCGGTAATTTTGAAGATGATTTTTACGGCTGAATGACAAGTTGACGTCATTATACCACAACGGTAATCTTAAGACGAGATGTAATAATGTATCGTTCGTTACAATTACAACTCTTAACTATTTTCTCCTAACGAAGAATTCATCAGTGCCGATACATCAGAAGCAGCAGAAATTCCCGCGACAGCAGCAACAGCAGCAGCAGCACCATCAACAACAACAACAAGACAACAACGTCAACAAAAACACAGACGCTGACATCAACAGTGCCCAACAGAAACAACAACAACAACAACTCAGAACCTACCATCTCTACGTCCACCTCATCTCTCAACTCCTCAACACCCTCGGCCCCCTCTACACCACACAGGCCATGGATTTTATCGGGGTGCACAAGGACAGGTTCAACTTTGTTCTAGAGTGTTCTAGAATATTCTACAGCAGTCAGCAACCCTGTCGCAGGAGGAGCGTGCTAGATAGCAACAGCATGGTCAATCTTTTTCACCCAAGTAGCAGTAACCAGAGGAACCTTACTAGCAGCGTCGTCGGCATTCCAGCTCGTAATGATACTGGTAACTTGAATAGTATTTTTAATACTACAGTTGCCACCAGTTTACATGATGCGGGTAAATTGAAATTTGCTGGCGAAATGGCCAGCAAAAGTTTCAACAGCATCTTCAGCAGCAACTACAACCCTCATAACATCAACAATATGACGTCACCATCAACCTTTTCTCCATTTAAAAAGTCTAAAGTTACTCACGATTCAAGCGTCCAGTCGAAAACAGCCTTCGGTCTTATCAACCAATCGGCATTTGGTTTTAACTCGGGCATCAACCAGTCAGCCATCTCTTCTCCATTCAACCAATCAAATTTGCAGTTTGGCTTCGGTGATTTGAACAATACAAGTGCTAACAAATCCAGTTTGGAAAATTATTCAGGTAGTAAAAATATTGACAAGGAGTATTATATAGTAGGCGATATTGCTGTTGAAATATTAGAATTGGAAACGATTAGTTTATTCATCTGTCAACTGTCCAAGTACAAAAAAGAATGGATGAATGAACTGCCGGGTGTTCTTCAATCTATCATGGTAAAGTATTTTAGTATTAACTAATACTAATTATTTATCACTAGTCATTACTACAGCTGCTGCTACTAGATGCAGTTTTTGGTGTTGATCATTTTGACATTCTCACGAATATTTACTTGATATTCAGACAAAAGTTTATTTAAATTATTATTGATTTATACACCGTGTCAAAGTTAGCGTAACTCGATTCGAAATGCATCAATACGAATGTGTAGTAATTGATAGTAGAATGATAGTAATATGATAGTTATTCACTCTGATAGTAATATGATAGTTATTCACTCTGACAGTAATATGATAGTAATTCACTCCGATAGTAATATGATAGTTATTCACTCCGATAGTAATATGATGGTAATTCACTCCGATAGTAATATGATAGTTATTCACTCTGATAGTAATATGATAGTAATTCACTCCGATAGTAATATAATAGTAATTCACTCCGATAGTAATATGATAGTAATTAACTCTGATTCAGACCAACATGTGTACTTGGACTCACAGAGTAGTCGGATTGTTATTCATGCCTAAACTTTTGCTGGCCATATCCGAGGTTTTCACTTCTTTCTTCTATTTTTTTAACTTACCCTTTTAGTATTTAGTATTTTACCCTTCAAGTAGTATGTAATTTTATATAGTATATATATATATATTTATATATTATGTGAAGTATTTTACTCCAAACTTTTTTGGTAACTTTTTCCAAGCGATTTTTTCAATTCAAGATGCTTGTCTTGCAAGTTAAGTAGAAAATATATCGCGATACATTTTATAATAGGTATTTTTATTTTAATGTTTTTTTTGGAGATTATTCTAAATGATCATTGGTAATTTATGTTAATTTATTCAGAGTCAGAAAACAGGTCAGCCTCTAAACTTGTCTCTGATTGGTCTATCGAATCTAGGGCACCATTCTACTGACGAATCGGCTAATTTCACCCCAGAGTTTTACAAATTACAGCAAAAGTATTGTTTTGAAAATATTTTAATTTTTACTAAACACTAAAAACACTACTTTTAATCAAAAAACTTTTATAATTTTTTTCGAAATTTTTTCTCTCCAAGATTGTTGTCCATAGTTGCTGTTAACTTGATTTCAATGAGGCTATTCTCACCACCTTTGGAGGAGATTTTTTTCAAAGTTTGAAAATTTGTTCAATCGTTGGCTCATTCATTCATTCATTTATTCATTCATTCATTAATTCATTCATTCGTTCATTCGTTCATTCATCCATTCATTCCTTCCTTCATTCATTCATTCAATCATCCATTCATTGCCATTCGCTTTATTTGCAATGATGAACAGACGGATAGAGTGTTGACCAGCTTTCATTCCTTCATCGTCATGGACTTTTCCACTCCTTTCATCGATGACTTGACGCCTCCGACATTTGGTACTCTGGTGGCGATATTTAATTTCTGTATTGACTTGCTTGGAAAGGTTGTTTTTTTTTTTCAAATTGTTCCTCCTTAGTATCTCTCAGTGTTTCTTTTCTGCTCGCTTCAGTAGAAAGCTGTAGTTAAATATTTTAATTCATCGATCAATCAGTCAGTCAATTAATCAATTTATAAATCAATCAATCAATCAATCAACCATTCATTCAGTTATTCAATCATTCAAGAAAACAACTTATTCATTTAAAAAATCATTTAATCTATTAAATAATTGTTCAATCGTTCTTACATTCATTCACTCAGTTATTCAATAAACCAATTAATCAACCAACCAATCAACCAATTAATTAATCAATCAACCAACAAATCAATCAATCAATTAAATAATCAACCAACAAACCGACCGACCAATCAAACCTAGAATGAAGGAACAAGACCCTTTTCACCTCACAAGCCCTCAACCCCCAGGTCACATGGTAGCAATCTTTCAACTTTCGTCAACAGGTGCCATCTTTTATTAATTAACAACATGCATAATGATATGCTATACGGTTTTGGGGATAACGCTTTTAGCAGCGCTAACATCTTAATATAACGATTAGTAATAGTCACACACGCACACACACACACACACACACACAAACGTTACAATAAAAAAAAGATCAATGACTAACTAACAACTTTTATAAACTTTAAATCAGAAAGCTTCTCCTATTCTTAATGGATCAAGTTATGTACTTGATGATGAGTCACGCCCTTAAATATTTAAGGGAGGCTGAAGTTGATGAACAGGACAAACAGGTCCTTAAAAGAGATCTAAGTGCGGAAATGGTTAGATTTTTTGGCATCGTTTGCAGTCTCTTTACTGTTTCCGATATCTTTGTTATTTGGTTTCTTGTTTTTTTTATTTCTGGTTTGTTTCTATCTCATTCATACTGGTTGTAATTTTTGAAGTTTTGATATAACACCTCCCTACTATAAATTAATCTCCCGTAGTCATCTTGCTTGATGAGTGCCTACCGTTACCTCAGAGTGGGGACGTCCAGTCCTGCTACCCCCAGACGATCGTCTCAGGGACTTCCCGCGGCTCTGCACTTTGCCACGGAGCACCAATTTTTAGGATTTGCAGATAACTTTGTCAGAAATGTTTTGAGGTAACCCGTTCAGTCATAGGAAGGATCGTGTTGGTTTACACTTGGACGGTTATGACGTGGCTCTGGCCTTATGAAACTCTTTCAACGTTTTTTTGAATTGTGGTTTTACTTTGTTTCATTATTGCTATTATTATTTACGATGCTGATTATTTTTTATGTTATGTTATTTACTGCTATTATTTTTATTACGATGATCGGCTGTCTCTTTAAACGTACAAACGCATTTAAAAACTTTCCGTTAAATGTTATTTCCAATTTGATGATGAACCAGGAAAGGGTGAACTAAATCACCAAAGCCTAACTCTCCCTACTTGAAATGTGTCTCAATAAAATATACGTTTAAAATTGTCAAAACATTCACCGATACAAACAATCAAAAAATTGTTGGAGATAATAAAGAAGTGACGATTGGTTGTAAAAATCGCACATATTAACGATTAAAAAGACAGACGCGTATAATTATTATTTTACCGTTTGATATACTACACAAAATAACGGTTTTTATCTAATCCGAAACGAGACGAGACAAATTTTTAATTTTTTATCAAAAATAAGAAGACTTGGTAGCTATCCACAAACGACAATTAGATTTTTATCTCGTAAAATAAGTCTAAAATAAATGAAAAATGTTTCTGTCAAGAAGTTTAAAAGGTGGCTGAGTTTGGAATGGCCATCATTAGTTTTGAATTTATTATCATTATTATCACATTATTATTATTATTTGTGTAATTTTTTATGAAATAAAATCTCTGATGGAAATATATGGTAGGCATGAAGGATTATTTTCGTTCGGGTAGCCGTATGGATGAGGGGTTCAAATCAAAAAGTTGTTCCCCGTCATTGACCGGTATCGTTGTACTCTTCTGTCAGTGTTCTGTAGTGGAAAGTGATTTTATTATCTGAGTATGAGGATTCGAGCGAGGAGTTTATCATATGAATAGCAATTTTATAGCAGAAATACGATGCTTATTTAGAAGAATTGGTCGTATTCTCACGCACTCATTCAAGAGTTGTGTTATAATCTATAACGGGGGTGGGCAAACTTTTTGCTGTGAGGGCCGCGTTGAGAACTATTTGACTTTTGAAGAGCCGCATGTGTAATTAGTTGGCAAATTTTTTCGATCCGGGGGAACATTTTTCTAATATTTGTGACTTCTTTTTTGGTCTGGGTGACGACTTTTTTTGGTGAAAAAGTCCTCGAGAGCTGCAGAAAAAGGCTTCCTGAAGAATGTCCACCCATGATCCAAGAAAAATATTTCCAGGTGGTTCATAATTTCAAAAATTACGTTTTTACTAAAAAATTACTATAGCCATGCACTTTATTCTTGTAGATGAGGGGTTGTCTATAATGTTTACACTAATTGTACGAATAAAGTCTGGCCTGGTATCACTCAAAACTTGGTTATTTTTATGTTGTTCTCTTGAAGCAATCATACTTTATTGCACATCAGTGCCATGAGTTTGAATTGTTCGTCTAAGGTTTCAGTTTTAAAAGAAAAAATAAAGAATGAGCAAATAACTAACCCATGCTAAACTGTTATCAGTTAATTAATTGACTGATTAATTAATTAAATTATTATTATTTAATTAATTTCATTAATTTTTCGCTTATGAGACAATAAATCAACTGGCTCACTCCGTTATAATTGTGTTTGGAATGACGATTCTGCCAGGTTAAAATTTTTTGCCAATTTATATTAATGATATTATGTTATTTTATTATTGTATTATTATCATTTTTTATTTTTATTATTAAAAAAAGTTAATACGTGCTTGTTAAGAAACAATTGGAAAAACCTTTTTTTCAGTCGGTTTGTCTTTAGGAGATAGATACTTATAATACCTCTTTGGGCTCCAGCTCTGAAAACATAAAAAATAAAAATAATAATAATAATCAAAATTGTCATCATCGTCACACGGAACTCGTCATCATTAATTTTATTATTCTATTAATTAATCAATTATTTAAATTATCTATTTAACTAATTGGGTAATAAATTCATTAAATTTATTAAACTCATCAGCCACAACTAACATCGTACTGATTGTAGAACTTATTGTGGCCCATGTAGCCCGTATAAAGAGACGAGTACCTACCAGTATAGCCCCCACTGTCCTTGCCACCAAGGTCGTCGTCGTCGCCATTCATCCAGCCACTCGCCATCGTTTGCGTCGGGTTGTGGTGGTGGCTGTAGTAACTGAGGTTGTTGTCGCTGATAATGTTCGGGAAGGGTTTTTGTCGGTGGCGATTAGAGCTCTGTATTGGATGGTTGATTTATTGGTTGGTTGGTTGAATAGTTGGTTGGCTGGTTGTTTGTTTGATTCGTTGGTTGGATAGTTGGTTGGTTGGCTGGTTGGATGGCTGGCTGGATGTTTGGTTGGCTGGTTGAATCATTGTTAAATAACTTAACTCACAGCTCCATAATGTGCGTAATTACAAGATACGACCTGTAATATATATATATATTTATATATATATATATATATATATATATATATTCTGATAAAAATTAACTGTAGATTTCTTTCAACTTTTAAATTTTTGTATATGAAGATATTTTATTTGTTTGTAATCTAATAACATATTAACTAATCTACCAACTAATCAATCCATCATTTAACTAATTTGCAAATCGACTAAACAGTCAACCATGCGACCGACCAATCAGTCTACCAACCAATCAACCAACCAATCAACCGAACGACCAATCAACCAACATACGTCGTTATTAATTCTTAGTTGGGGAGAACTGGTTGGCGAATGGCGGAGAGTTGTCATGGGCTGTTAAATTATAGAAAATTATGGAAAATTATTCAAAGTTATAAAAAATTATTTAAAATTATAGAAAATTATTTAAAACTTTAGAAAATCTTAGAATTAAGAAACTTTTTAATAAGTTTTCTGGAAATAAGTTTACTATACAGGTAGAATAATTGTTATTAATAATTCTTAGCAAAGCATTTTTATATAAATGTTTTGTGCTGTAAGATAAATTTCATAAAATGGAACCGAAAAAAAAATTTTCACAACCATGCTTAAAAGATTTTTTCTAGACTTTCTATACTTTTTGGTTCTGGGGTTGCAGATTTCGCAAATGTTCTATGGCGACATGTGATGTAATTTGAAGTTTGTTTATTTACTCCTTATCATCATCACCATCATCATCATCACCATCATCACCATCATCATCATCATCATCACCATCATCATCATCACCATCATCATCATCATCATCATCACCATCATCATCATCACCATCATCATCATCATCATCACCATCATCATCATCACCATCATCATCATCATCATCACCATCATCATCATCACCATCATCATCATCATCATCACCATCATCATCATCATCATCATCATCATCTTTTTTCATCATCATCGTCGTCATCGTCATTTTTTCGTCGTCGTTGTCATCTTTATTATTTATTATTATAATTTAATTTATGACGTCATAATTAGTACGAACGTTGTTCAGGTAAGGAGCGCTCAACGAGTTGTACTGATAGCTACACGTTTGTGGCAACACCATCGGCTGTGTGTGTGTGCGCGCGCGCGCGTGTGTGTGTGTGTGTGTGCGTGTGTGTGTATGTGCGTGCGTGTGTGTGTGTATGTGCGTGCGTGTGCGTGCGTGTGTAGTGTGTATCTGACGTAGAATGATTTTCGTAGTACAATAGTACTTTTCAACTTCACGGTGCCTTACAATTACGTCATGGTTATCATCATCATCGTCATCATCGTCATCACCACCACCATCATCATCATCATCTTCGCCATCGTGGTGAAATTTGTTGACGATAAAACATCGTCGTTAAAAACTTGTTTTTTCTCGTAAATTGTAAGGGTTGCGTCATAAAATGCATAGACATTCCATTCTGCCGTGTTTATGTTCATATTTTTATATCTATGTTTTTGTCGTTGTAGGCGCCTAACAATTATACGTTATCCTGCCACTCAATAACAACAATAACACTAATGACAACAACAACAACAACAACAACAACAATGATAATCATAACAATAATCAGAAACCTGTTCGATGCAATACTTGCAAGGGCAGCTTTTTATTTTCTTCTTCAATTTTTCCATTTTTTTATACTTAGCATATAACAACTGCTGATGTTGCTGCTGCTGCTGAAGCTGCTGCTGTTGTTGAAGCTGCTGCTGTTGTTGAAGCTGCTGCTGTTGTTGAAGCTGCTGCTGTTGTTGAAGCTGCTGCTGTTGTTGAAGCTGCTGCTGTTGTTGAAGCTGCTGCTGTTGTAGCTGCTGCAGTTGTTGATGGTGGTGATGTTGATGGTGGTTATATTGCGAGAGGAACGGCTGCCGCTTCTGAATCGGCGAGTATGGCGTCATCATCTTCGGTGACGTCATACTCAGAGGCGGGGATGGCTGGTAGGCTGGCGACGTCTGTGGCTTAATGATGATAATGATGAAGACGACGACGACGACGATGATGATGATAATAATAATAATATTAACAGTATTATATACTTGCACTTTTTCACTCGTGTTGATAGTTATTTCTTCTTCATTGACAATTACGGAATCATCATCATCATTATCACCACCACCATCATCGCTGTCGTCATCCTCACCATCATCGTCATCATCATCATCATCGTCGTCGTCATCATCGCCATTCATTAATAATTTTATCTATACCAACTGATGGACTCTGAAATAATTATTAAAAACAAAAATAATAAATTAATAATAAAAATATTATTATTATTAAATAATAATTTCATAATAATTACTCTCATCGTGCTAGTTATAAAGTTAAACTCATATTGATTGCCATAATACAGTCTCTTTGATTGCCATTACAATTGAATGAGTGGATGGACGGATAAATGAATGAACGAATGAATAAACGAACGAACGAATGAACGAACGAATGAATGAACGAATGAATGAATGAATGAACGTACAAACGAACGAATGAATGAATGAATTAATTTACTAACTCATAAATTAATGGATTAATGAATGAATGAATGAAAAGATAAAAATAGAATACTTGGTTTATTATGGAAGTAGGACATATGTACTTGGGACCTTTTAAAACTTTCGATAGCTGTTATATATTGGTTTTACATTTATTATGAACTCGATTTTTTGTTTATTCTTTAACTTATTCATATTTCATTCATCCATCTATCTATCTATCCATCCATCTAATCATTCGTTTGTTCGTTTGTTTGTTCGTTCGTTTGTTCATTTGTTTTTTGCTTGTTCGTTTGTTCTTTCGATATTTCATTTTTTGTTCATCTGTTTATCTCTCTTTCAGTCTATTCATTTATCCATTCATTCATGCATTCATGCATTCGTCCATTCACTCGACATTAGCCTTTTGATGGCATGGACTCGGTGAACATTTGTACCTCATCTCATTCTGAACAAGTATTCAAGGATGGAATGTAATTAAACAAATAATAAAAGTGATAATAATATTAGTTATTATCACACACACACACACGCACACACACACAGCGTATACGAATACGCGTGAACCCACGTATCACACAACACGCTCTGCAATCGAAACCGGTCACTACGATAGCAAGAGCAGACGCCATAACCATTTAACCATTTCCGAATTGGTGCAAATTTAAGTTAGCAAACTTGATTGCATATATTGTCGAATATTCTTCTGTTTGGCTGGTTATAGTATTTAAATCATTATATTTTTATTTCTGATGATGACGATGAAGATGACGACGACGATGATTATGTGAATGATGACGATGATATGATATATTTTAAAACTGAATTAAAAATAAAATCAATCAAATGAAAATAATTTTTTTTCAAAATTAACCTCAATCCGGTAGCTATCATCATCATCTTCATCATCATCGTCATCGTTGTCTAGGCAGTTTTGATAATCATCCAGTGATATTGGGAGAGGCTTTTGATTGGTTGATTGAATAAATAGTTGACTGATTGATCGGTTAAATGATTGATTGGTTAATTGACTGATTCGTCGTTTTGTTGGTTGGTTGATTGGCTGGTTGGCTGGTTGGTTGGCTGGTTGGTTGGCCGGTTGGTTGGTTGGTTTGGCCGGTTGGTTGGTTGTTGATTGTGTGATTGAGTGGCAGGTTGGTTGACCGATTGATTGGTTGACAAGTTAAATGATTGATTGATTGACAAGCAATTAACTGATATCTTGATTAATAATATAATGATAGTATCAGAAACAAGGAACAACCTGTGCATAGCAGGAACAACAATTCCTCATATGCTTCATTCAAATAAATTAATACTTAAAATAATTCTTTTCAATTAATGCATTTTAGACGCGCACACACGCACACATATAGCTACACACACACACCACACACACAACACACATGCAAACCAACACACACATACATGTATAAAAAATTGTATTGATAAAAAACCTGCCTGTTTGTATATGTGTATGTATATGTGTGTGTGGTTGTGTGTGTGCGTATGTGTGTGTGCGTGCGTGCGTGTGTGTATTGAGTTATGTTAGGAGTTTAGAGAAAAAGGATGAAAATAACGTTTATCTAACCGGGGATGGAGAATTATAATAGTGCCAAACCTTTTGATGTAATAATATCATCGTCATCTTCATCACCATTTTTATCATCATCATCATCTTTACCGCCACAATCTTTCTTTATCATCATCATCACAACAATCAACATCACCATCATCACCACCACCATCATCATCATTCATGCCTTCAATTTAAGTTAACGGGTGAATTTTTCATTGTAAAAAGCTGGTTGCGTAACCAGAAATTCGAAGTTTGCGGGCTTGAAGAAGATAAGTTTGGCGCTATTTTTTTTCTACTCATTAAAGAAAATTTGTACGAAAATGTTCTTTTATTGTATTGTTCAGAGGTGAGAATTGAAGTATAGGCAAAAAGGGATGATTGTTTGCTCTAGTAGTGTGTAAAATGATATATGATAGCTATTGAGGCCATAGGTATTCTAATAAATGATAAATGATACTGTTTTTTATTGTTTCTAACATTCAGGACAGTGCAGTGGGAGACATTGACGACACTGGTCGTCGTCATCGTCATTATGATTATGATTATGATTATTATTATTATTATTATTATTATTATTATTATTATTATTATTATTATTATTTCATTAGCAGCATTTAGAAGTTAGATATTATTTAAAATGCCAGAAAAAGCATCAAAGTACATTTTGATCTTTTGGAAAAACGTTTGGCTGTCGAGTGTAAACAAAAAAATGTAATAATAAATAATAATTATTATAATAATCTTGTTATTATTATTATTTAAAATATAATGAGAATTTTGGTAAGGAATGGGACATTTGCTATAGATTGCTTGTTAAATTTATTCAAGTTGGTATATATATATATATATATATATATATATACATTCTATAGCTTATTGCTGACTGTCTTAACAAAATAACTCATGTAAGTAAACTGCATTTCTATTAAAAAACATTTTAAAATAAAATAATGATATTAAAATTTAACTTTTTTTTCTCATAAATTACAAAAGAGAGCTGCAAAATAAAATAGAAATTTGTATAAAAAATGAAAAAAGAAAGAAACAATCGATAGATGGAACCGCACTTTGTTGAAATCAGTTGGACTGCCACTGCACCACGGACTGTTTTGCTAAATAAAAATGGCAAAATAAATTTTTGAAATACAAAAAATTATGAGTGGTGTAATGGTTATGGTGGCTGGCACCGCTGTAGTAGTGACCAGATTCAAGCGCGATGAGATCCTAGAGATTTTAACACGTACAAAGTGTGCTATGCGTTATTTCATTAGCATTTCCATGCACCGTGTGCTTGTTGTTAATGTAATTTTTTTTAAAACATTAAAGAAAAAATTGCGAATTCCTATGGAAAACATATTTCAAAACTGTTTTTGTTGAAATCATCAAAATTTGAAATAAAAACTGGATAAAATTAAACCACTTGTGGGTAGGCAGGATTGAGCTGATTCCAGACATCAGCGCTTTCATTCCAATTCTTTAAATCAAATTTTTAATTTTAATTTTTCCGTAAAATCGAATAATAATCATAAAAATACATTTAAAATAATAATACATATATTATTTATTGACATGCCTATAATAATTATAAAAGGAAAGTTTTTGTAAACTTTTTAGCACTGAATAAAAATTTAATTTATTTAAAAAAATAAATCTTCTATGTACCTTGGACATTTTCGTGAAATTAATTCATCCGAAATTATTTAAAATAAAAAATAATTTTTTCACCAATATTTTTTTCAGTTTTAATTTATTTTCTAATTTCGATTAATTAATAAGTATAAAATGGTGCAATCTATATATCTCTATCATATTTGTCTAGCTAAGATTCACTGATTACGATCTGGATGTAGACAACTTTTTTGGTTTGTTATCATTTGAGGTTTGATTGTTGTTGTTATTGTTGTTGTTATGATTATTGTTGTTGCTGTTATTATGATTTTTGTTGTTATTGTTGTTAATATGATTGTAATTGATGTAGTTATGTTACTAGAGATGGTTGTTGATGTTGTTTCAATTATTATTCTTCCTTATTTAAAAACAATGATCGCAACGTCATAATTACATAGACATAATAGTACATTGATTATTTATTTGTTTTTTGGTCAATTGTTCGGTTGTTCTTTCGTCTGTTCGTTCGTTCGTTCGTTCGTTCGTTCGTTTGTTCGTGAGAAAATTTGTTCGGTCATATTCCCAGATCATCTCACAATTTTTTGTCAATCTGTCTGTCTACTTTTAAAACTGTGTTTTCGTGTTTAAAGAACTGTGCTTCAATGTATATGTTGACTAAACTTTCAAAAAATTCTATTGCTTCCCCCCCTAGTCTCCCTAAATCTGCCCTACCCTCCCTAAATCTGCCCTATCTTCCCTAAATCTGCCCCTACACACACACACACGCACACGCACACGCACACAACATAATACCCAAGTTACTGTGAGTACGTACCAAGTAGACACTCGCACATATATACACACATATGAAAACAGTGTATGCATAACACATTATTCAAATTAGCTAAAGAAAACTAACATATTCTGGTTCAGTGCGAATTTAACCAGCCGAACAATGTGATACATTCATTACTTTGTATTTTTTTATTATGTATTCTATTGTATAGTATTGTGTTGTATTGTATTGTATAGTATTGTATTATATTGTATGGTATTGTTTTGTATTTTATTATATTGTATTGTAATGTATTGTATTGTATGGAAATGTAAACATTTGTATTTCTATTTTACAATATGTAAGACGTTATGTTATGCTAACTCTACCCGTTATGATACATACTTAAATAAAAATTATCTAAATACGCTGTGAATATCTTTTAACATTTGAATATTTTAATAAACTTCAGCAATGGAAAAGTATTTATATATTTAAGTTGGTTTTTACAAAATTTTGGAAAAATTGTCTCTCATAACATAGGATTAAACCTACTAAGTTGGAAGGCTGCCAAACAACAACAATAAAATCTACATCAACTACAACAACAACAACAAAATCATCATTAACAACAACCACAACAACATCAACAACAATAACATTCACAACAGCAACAACATAAACCACAGCAACAACAATAAAATCATAATCAACAACAACGGCAACAACAAAACCAAATCAACAACAACATGTCGTCAATGCGATATTTATTAGTGCTAATAATCCTATTGGATATTCTTGCATCCAATCACGCCACGGTCAAGAGGAAGAGGAAGAAGATTAAGAAAAATAAAATTAAAGATCTAAACGATGAAAAAGATGACGGTCTGTCCTTGACATTGCTATTTTCTGAGAATTTGATTGGAGGAGCGGAAGAAGACGAGGACCAATCGGATGATCACAATGCGGACTCGGACAAACCGGAAGACCTTGAGGATCTGAACAAGGCCAGATTTGTGGTGGTTGACCCAAATGGTAAAGATGAAACTAGTGGTGGTGGTACTCTTGGTAATGGTGACGATGATAATCGTGGTAATGATGATGGTCAGGGTAAGAATGATGATGGTGATGTTGATGGTGGCCATGGTCATTTCAATGGAAACTCTCAAGCCTATGATCATCAAGGTAACGCCAGTCTTGCTGCTGCTGCTGCTGATGATGATGATGATGATGATAATAATAATAGTAAAAAACATAATTATAACAATGATAATAATAATATTGATCGCCATCATCATCATCATAAAAATAACGATAGAATAAACAAAGAACCAAACAACTGCGGGCTAGCCAACAAAGAACCAAACAACAAAGAACCAAACAACAAAGAACCAAACAACAAAGAACAAAACGGTGACGTAATTGACTACAACAACAACAACAACGACAACAACAACAACCACGATAATTATGAATATGTTTATGAAGATTATTATTATGATGACGAAAATGAGAACAAAGAAACTTTAGAGAAGAATTTTAACATTCTCATTTCAGCCTCATACAATCTGGAGAATAAAAAGCACACACACTTGCTTGATGACGCCGTGAGTAAAAAAAATGATAAGTAAGACATTTATTATTATTTGAAATTATTATTATTATTTAAAGTTATCATTTAAAATTATTATTATTAATATAATTATAATTGATTTCAAGTTTGCGACTATTAATTCATATCACAGTTATCGAAGAAAAATGTTAATGGTATGATTTGAAATTGGTAATTAAAACGACGAAGATGACGACGACTACGTGATGATCGTAATGATTATAATAATAATTATTAATTGTAATATAATTATAATAATAATAATTATAATATAATTATAATAATTATTATTATAAATAATATTTCCTTTTTACTAGAATGAAAAGTAATAAAAAAAGTGGCAATGAACATAGTGATAAACTATATGGAGGTATATTACCATCATCATCATCATCATCATTATTATTATTATTATTATTATTAGTAGTAGTAGTAGTAGTAGTAGTAGTAGTAGTAGTAGTAGTAGTAGCAGTAGTAGTAGTAATTTCAGTGTATATTTTGCAATATAAAACCCAAAATAATCACAAAAATATCATGATTAAGTATCAAATGTTACTATTAAATCTTAGCCAGAACTCATGAAAACAAACTACTGACCATTCGGAAACAAGGTAGACAAATTTGGAATAAAATTAACAAAAATATTTCCAATATTTAACTACGGTGATGTGATACTTGGTACTCTTACTCAAGTACTATTCGGCTGCCAATTTCATGTATTTGCACTTGAAACCTAAGTACTTGTTGTTTTACAATGTTCTCCTAGTTGTATTTGATAATTTGATAAATACAAACACAACATCACAAATTTTCACAAAATCGTAGCTAAAAATTTCAAAGATGCTAATATTTTCTTTCGAGGTTTTGACCATTTTTAAAGATTAATAAAAAAATAATTATTTTAAAATATCTCCCAGCCGCTGAAGCTCAAAGAACCAATCAAATACTACTCATCGTCACGTGCTTGTTCACATTCTTCATAATCTTACTCTGCATCGTGTCGATGGTATTTCTAGTGAAGATAAAGCTGAGCAGGAAAGCTTGGAATAGCAGTTAGTAGTACTTTAGTATATTTTAAAAGTTATTTTTGCAGTAGTATAATAAATTTAATTCGTAAATCCAAAATGTATGTTAATTATTTGGATGTAATTTGTGTAGCGGTATTTGTAATAAATTTATAAAGTATTTTTCTTAATATTAAATTGATTCATTTCGCTTATTATTATAAATATTATTATCCTAGCATTAATGTTGTCATAATTCCCATTGTATTGCCAAAGTATTTGGTAGGGAGGTGCGTGTGTAGCAAAGCCATCTCGACTGAATATTAAAAAATGATAAATTATACATAATATAACACAATAATATAATAAATTATTAATAATATAATATAAGCCAGAGATAATTATAGTGAATAATAGTAGTAGTAATAAAATAACTATAAAAGCAGTGGTAGAAACACTCCGAGAAAATATGTAGCCACCGTAAACCCTTGTAATGTTAGCATCGTATGTTATCCGCGCGCAAATTTTTGTTATTGGTGCATCTGATGGATGTTCTATGCTAGAGTACGTATGCGTAAATAATTTGGCAATGTGTGTGCGTGAACGTATGTGTGTTTATGTGTGTGTGTGTTTCTGTGCGTGTGTGTGTGTGCTTTACTTTTCCTCTTTCTTTCTCTCTCTTTCTCTCTCTGTCTCTCTCTATCTCTCTCTCTGTCCCTGTGTTGTGAGTGTGTTAGTGTCTTGACTTCTCTAAGTTTTAAGAAAAAAAACCCGCGTATTTCTACAATATATATATATATATATATATATATATATATATATATATTTCATTTTCATTTCATTTTCAAAGTTTTATTCATAATCAACAACATATCAAATAAGTGAATAAAAGTTATGAAGTTGAGTATGCGGAGACCGAATAAGACTGTTTGTCTTGTGGTGACCACCGCAGGTAGATACATGAATAGTTAATGGAATAAAATAAGGAAAATAACTGAAGCAGAAAGATAATTGAAGATAAATAAGTAAATGTTCGTGTCATACATATATAGACATATAACTATGTAAATGTTCGCTCAGTACATATATAAACACATAAATGTTTAACCATTCATCCGCATCATTTGTTCTAACGTATTCTTATTATAGTATGAGGTGGTGGAGTCGAGATGCAGTGTCAATAAAAAAGCACGGAATTTTGACTTGAAATGTTGTAGGTTTATGATGGCTCTTAGATGGGGGGGTACAAGTTCTGTCCAAATTTTAGGATCTGTTATTTTTATGCTTGGCTGGATTAATTTGAGGCGAGTTTTGTAGATATAGAAGAGAGGGGTGTGTCTAGTGGTTGTAGATTGAACGGAGTTACTTAATGTGTAGAAGTTGATAAAGTGAGGTGGGAGAAGATTGTTGATAAATTTAAAAACGAATAAAGCAGAGTAGTAAAGACAGATGAAGTTAACTGGTAAAATTTTTTTTGCTAGTATGAGAATCGGGTTTGAGGTTATATATATATATATATATAGATGTGTGTGTGTGTGCGTATGCGCGTATGTGTGTGTTAGGGGGTGAATGTATGTGTTTATTCGTCACAATCTTCGTATATCTATATAACAATGAAAATATCATCTAAAAAGTGAAAGAGATGTTATTAATGTTTGTTCCGCTCCAACTTTTTTCAATAGCGTAGCATCATTATGATGAATGTTAGCCCTCGATTTAAAATACAACAGCGTCTGTCTGTCGTCATTTCCGCCATTTTTGAAAACAACTGCGTGGTTATTGTTCAGCCAGTACGTGGTTATTGCGTGGTTATATCTACATATACAGTGGTCGCTGTAATGTTGTTGGTTTCGGAGTTCGGAAGATCATTTATTATGCCCAGTTATCTATAAATACGAGACGACATTTGTTTTGATGTGATTGTATGTTTATGATCGAATGTTTTTTGTTTTTTCGCTGCTCAGTTTGTTTATTTTGTTTGTTTTGCTTAATGTAGATAAAGATGTTTTTGGTCTGCATGCTTTTCCTTCGTATTCACTTTGAAAATTCTCTGTTCCGTTTTCATTTCTAATGATCAATGATATCTGACTTAGTTTTGTGACCTACATTTTGTTATTTAATATTTTTAAAGACTTCTAAATAATTTTTTTAGCAATTTTCACTGAAACGTTAGCACTAAATTAACAATCACTTTTTTTATCTTATTTTATAAAAAAATTTTTATATTATTTTATGAAAACTTTATAAAAATTTTATAGCCTATCGTCAACAACTTAATTAAAATCGGCTACGACATTGGTATAATCTAGATTTATTCATTTATTCGTTTTATTTATCATTTTTATTATTATTTTTATTTATTTTTAATTCCTTTTTTAATTTTCAACAACACAGGAAGGCAACCAGACAGGGAAGAGGAAGATGTATGAATGGTGTCTATAGACGTGGAAGAGGAAGATGTATGAATGGTGTCTGTCCGTCAGTCTGTCTGTCTGGTTGTTTGTTTGTGTGAGTGTGTATATGTGCGTATGTATGTTTGTGAGCATGTGAATATGTACGTGTATATTTGAATTATATGTTTTATGTGTTTGTAAATTTATGTATTTATGTAGTTATTTTTAAAATGGAAGTCTTTAACTTTTAATTTAAAATTTAAATTGCGAATATTTCAATGAGACTTGACGATTTTGTAATAATGTATTTTGAAATAATTTTATTCTCTCGGAATGGAAAAAATTAAATAAAACTGAAAGAAAGTGAAACCTTGTTTTTTTTTAATGAAAAAAAAATTAAAAAAATCAACCTAAATAATAATAATATTATTAATAATTATAATGATAAATTTAAAATTATAACAGTCTAATGATTCAATGTATTAATTCATTGCTTAGTGAAAGTACTCATTAAAATTTCAACAGGTTTGAGATGAACTGTTGAGTAATTAAAAGTGGAGAATGTGTCGAGAGAGGCGAGAGAAAGAAAGAGATGATGGAGAGACAACAAGGAGAGAGTGAGAGTAAATAAAAAAGAATGAAATTTAGACAGACAGATGTGCAAAATGAATTGAAATAAAGAACAAAGGGAGAGATAGAGAGAAATGAGTAAAAAAAGAGATAGTAAAAAAAAGATTTACAAAGTATGAGAGAGAGAGAGAGAGAAAAATAAAAAAGATAGATGAAGAGATAGTATAGAAAAGGTAGGAAGAGAAATAGGAAGAAAAAAGAGTGAGGCCTAAAAACACTACAAAAGAGAGAATAGCGCAAGAAAGATGAAGATAGAAAAGAAAAAAGAAAAAAACAGAAAGAGAGAGAAAGAGAGAGAGAGGAGAGAGAGAGAAAATCAAATTTGAAAAAAAAAGACTAGCATAAATTGTGCTTTCTTAGTTTCTACAATTAATCTTCTAACGATTCATCTACAGTGTAAATTGTAAATTGCCTTGCTGTAATATCGTCATGGCTCCGTTGGGAATATATCCGCCTAGATCAGGGGTGGGCAAACTACGGCCCGCGGGCCACATGCGGCCCGCAAAGCTATTTTATGTGGCCCGCCCGCGTGACCTTGCTCGCTTAATAAAAGGTCGTCAACCAGACATTATGACCAAAAAAAGGAGCCACAAATCTTAAAAAATTCTCCCCGGGTCAAAAAAATTTGCTATTTAAGTACATATGCGGCCCTTCAAAAATAAAATTGTTCTCAATGCGGCCCTCACAGCAAAAAGTTTGCCCACTCCTGGCCTAGATAACTTTTTTGCTCGGCGGGTCGTACGAACATACAGACATGCATCAGATCAGCATCAGATCAGTCAACAGTAGGGAGCTGTTCTTCGCAACTGACCACATTTCGTGTTTGTCGCAGGAACCTCTGTGTGCCGGAAAATATCCAATTGAATGCCGACATGTGCAATTAACGACAAATCAAAGTGTCAATCCACTTGGTGTTTGACTGCTTAGTGTCATTCATCATGTTTTGGTTTTAACATACATAAATACATACATACATACATACAAACATACAAACACATATGAATACATACATACATACACACATACAAACATACATACATACATACATGCATACATACATACATACATACATACATACATACATACATACATACATACATGCATGCATACATACATATATACATACATACATACATACATACATACATACATACATACATACATACATGCATGCATGCATACATACATACATACATACATACATACACACATACATACATACATACATACATACATACATACATACATACATACATACATATATACATACATACATACATAAATACATACATACATACATACATACATATATACATACATACATACATACATACATACATACATACATACATACATACATACATACATACATACATACATACATACATACATGCATGCATGCATACATACATACATACATAAATACATACATACATGCCAAGCACCCTTTTCATGCTTTGCAACCGTGCTAAGAAAATAAAATTTCTTTGGTAGCCAGGATTTCATTTTTCTATTTTAAAATAATTTAGAATAATTGAAAAATTATTCAATAGCTATAATAAGAAAAAGTTATTTTGTCATTTCATTATTGTTTTTATTATTTGTATAAGTGTTTGCAATTAGTGCTAATTAAAACCGTGATGAGGTTATTACTTTTAATTTTGATGAACGAGTGATGAAATGAATGAATAAATACATGAATGAATTAATAAATGAATTAATTGATAAATAAATGAATGCATTAATGATTGATTGATTGGTTAAATAATGAAAAATACTGTGGTTATACTTTCATGTATTCATAACTTATTACCATCTCTGTGTGGTATAATGTAAACTAAACTAAGGATATATCAGTATCGATACTAAATAGTTAGCAATAATTTTACTATTGCAATTTAATAATTTGACTACTTTTAAGACAGACTATAAATTAATGAATTTTTTGTAAAAATCATCAATTTAAAATACACTTTCAATTACACTGGCATAGATGATTTTTTATCACTAATGTTTCGATATAAATTTTA